ACATAGACTCCAGAAAGTATTTTCATTTTGCTAAGGCAAGTCTTATTACAATTTAGTTTAGGATATAATATGTTCTTACATAATTTCTAGAAGGTTTAGGTTCAAATCTGGAGTTAAAGAAGAAAGCTAATTCACTTAACAAGTTCATATAAAGAAAATTGTACCACCTTTGCATTCTAGCCTCTTAACTATAGCATTGTCAAAAATAGCTTACCTTAAAAAAAGGAAGAAAATTTATAGAAATCTTAAGGGAGCAATAAAATTATATCCATGGATTTGAACTTCAAGGAAAACATTAACTCAGAAGTGATTATCTTGTGTTTCTCTCAGCATTTGAATTCTTTCTTCTGAGAAAGCATTAAGAACATAAATGGTTGAGAGCAAGAACACCAGTGGATTCAGATGAAATCAAGTAGCAAACAAATACAGATTTTTTAACGATCTTTTGCAATAACATTGCCTTGAGAAAAGTAAGTTGAGAATAAGTTGGTCTAGCATGTCTACAAGTAGATCACACACGTTAAGTAAGAGAGAAAAATATAGGTGGCTAATTATCAGAGAGTGTTGAATGTAGTGAGACATTTAATATATGTTTCTAAACTTTGCTGTACTAAGATTGTAGAAGAATTTCAGCAATCAAGAAGTAAAATTCCATCTATAACTTGGAACTCCTAAGAGTCAATAAATGCATAAAAAGTTGTCTTATATTTCTAGTGTAGGAATCCTTTGGAAGGCTACTGATGAGAGAGAAGGGGAATCTTCCAGGAACTAAACCTTGCTCACAGATGAGGTCTGGTGTCCGAGGGGCATAATGTCCAGAGTTAGTGATGTACTTGTGAATATTTTTTCTATCATAAGAACTTACATTTTGGACATTGTAGAAACTAAACAACTGTTTAATGAATTTAATGCCATTGCTTTTTTGTTTCTTGTTTGTTTGTTTGTTTGATGGGAGGGAACTCCAGAATGTTTTCTGAAAGTGGAAATTGATGATAAAACCACAATCCTACCCCTTTGAGAGAAACTATGGAAACAGTGAACTTATGAACAACTTATAATACTAACATTTTTCTGTAGACAGCATACCAGTAAATAAGGCTCTGCTTTTGGAACACAGTCATTTAGTAACTTACTCATGAATATTCATTTTGAGGGCTGGGCTGTGTCATGGATTGAACCTCAGCTATACTACTTAGTTTTTCATAAGAATTCTGATGCAAGTCATGGCCAAATATGCAGGGCAACCTTTCAAACAACCATCACATCAGACACTTGGGGTAACAGATCCACTCATAATTGAGCATATAATTCCATATCTTGTCTGCAATATAGGTCCTATGATGGCTGCATACAGAAAACTTTCTCAGATGGCTTGCCTACAGGCTCTTAGGTGCAACCTGTATTGTCCATCTCTTGAGACAAAATATTCTCTGGGTGAAAAAGAAAACAAAAATTCCTATCCTTCATTCCACTTATTAACTTACAACCATTCAGTAGATGAATGATAAACAGACTTAGGAGTGAAATCCTTCACTACAGCGCTTTTCTCAGGCAAGGAAATCTAGCCTATGTATTGTGTGTATTATTGTATTAGAATTAAGCAGAGTGATAGTGATTCAGATAAAACCTATCATGGAACGTGCTTTTTGTTTAAGATCAAAGTAGAATCAAAATAGGGAAATACAAAATATCATGACTCTATGGCATACAGTATGCCATTCAAGATTTCTGACACCAAGCTTGCTGTTATGCATACAGTATACTTCCTCCTCTCATTTTCCTCTGTCTTTACAGTTCTTTATATTTTATTTATTTATTTATTTATTTTTATTAGAGGCCGGGTTTCACCATGTTGGCTAGGCTGGTCTCAAACTCCTGACCTCATGTGATCCACTAGCCGTGGCCTCCCAAAGTACTGGGATTCCAGGTGTGAGCCACCGAACCCAGCCTATTTTTAAACGTTCGTTATATTGTTTTATATGTGCTAAAATAGCTATAGCATAAACCAAGAAATAAAATGACACTAAAGGGCTCAAATATTTCCTGAATAACTTTGAGCATGAAAGTTATGAATAGCTACAAAAGGTTACAATACAGGTGCTATATGCTGGATAATGTGCACGTTTAAATCCATATTCATTCTATTTTTTAACTTCTTACTTCAGAATGTTTACTGAATACTGTTTATGTTAAAGTGACAGAATTTGCACATAATTTTCTTAAGAACTCACAGATAAAGCCATATACCTCTTCGTGAATTTTTGCTTAGAAGGGTCTCCAACTGAAAAAAATTCTGCCAGTTTGGAGCAAGAATATCAATGAATTGTTTCAAGAGAGTGAAGAACCATAAAAATAGGTAGAAAGGCTATTGAATCAGTTTCCTTTATCAAAGGTAGGGAAACCTGCCAAGGTACTGCAGAAGAACCCTGGCCATCTGAAGGATTAGTGGAATAAAGAACTTCCTCAAAGTAATTGTGAAGATTCTAACTGCAGTGATGACACAACTGGCATTACCCAAAAATGAAAATATAAAGGCCACTCGGCTTTAACGTGTCCCATACTCTCAATGTTACAGAAGAATTTTCTTCCTATATGTTTTGCATCTTATAGAAAATTAAAATTCACTGTGCATCAAGGGGAAAAATGCACCATATTTCAAGAGAAGAATGTTTGAGGAAAACTGGCAATATTGCAAGGTTAACGGTTTCCTAGTATTGCATAGGCTATTTTTCTTTTTTTTCAAATAAAGGATGAAAATCAAATACTGCCTTTGAAGAAATAGCATGCAACACCTGTAAAGTGGAGAGTTCTACAATGAATACAGTCAACAATGAGTCAAGCGTCACTCGCAATACAGAGAGCTTGCTACAGGTTCCATCTCTGCTTAACCATCTATGACAGTTCTTTCCAAATTCCTATGGCTCTCTAGGTTTACACATAAATGTAGCTATTATTAATGATATTACTATAATGAAGTAAATGTAGATTCCAATTTATCCTGGAGTGACTGTAGATTATTAATACTCTTGGTATTGACTCTTGATTTTTCAAGTTTTTTTATTTTTAAATTTCCACTCCCATCAATCACTGATAATTTTCTCGATTCCTCACATTATTTTAAAACCTTATTGTATTACATGAGATAACATTCTTATAAAGTGATTATACATTTTCTTATAATGCATACCTTCCTTATTTATTTATTTATTTATTTATTTATTTAATTTTGAGACGGAGTCTCGCTCTGTCGCCCAGGTTGGAGTGCAGTGGCGCCATCTCGTCTCACTGCAAGCTCCGCCTCCCGGGTTCACGCCATTCTCCTGCCTCAGCCTCCCAAGTAGGTGGGATTACAGATGCGTGCCACAAAGATCAGCTAATTTTGTATTTTTTTAGTAGAGCCAGAGTTTCACCATGTTGGGCAGGCTGGTCTCAAACTCCTGACCTCAAGTGATCTGCCTACCTCAGCCTCTCAAAGTGCTAAAATCACAGACATGAGCCACGGCGCCCAGCCCTTCACCTCTTTTTTCAAGAGCTCAGATCTTCTAGGGCAAGAGCAATATTGTTTGGCTACAGAAGATTAAACTTTTATAGTCAACCAAACTCCCCATTATTTTCTTGATTCATTTAATTGTATTATTCATTCAACAACCACTATATATGTAGTATGGTAGTGCAAGCTCCAAAGATGAGTCAGACATATATATTGGTCTTATTAACAACAGTCTTATTTGTATCCTCTCCCCATTTCCAGCCACTCTTTGATTATCAGTAGTTTCAGAAATTACTTTAAATGTCCCTTCTTTTTCTTTTGTCTTTCCTAGGGACACAATATGAGGTTTCCAGTTTTTTTCACAGTTAATAATGAGATATGTTATCAAACACACTGCACATGACTAGCAGTGTGTTTTCCATAATTTTTTTCAATATTCTCATGCATACAAGGTAGATGAAATCAACTCTATTTTATAAGGAAGCAACATTCATTCACACAAGTAAAGTGATTTGTCCAAGACCTTACAGTGAGTAAAAAAAAGCAAATCCAAGACACATACATATGACTGTGGGACTCTGAAGTTCATAGCTTTTTTATCGGAAGTCTACTTAGGACTTTATCATATGATTCTATATTCATCTTGTTACTAGTGAGTATATCATCACTTCTGTCTGTTTATTGTTTCAGGCATGTAAATTTGTATCCCATTTAGATTTTTAGGTTCTTAACGGGTAGGTCATGTATCTAAGATTGTTATCTGTATCCTATATAATCTAACTTTGATCCTGATAAACAATAAATTTTCTACTAAATATTTATATTTTTATTAATTTAGCAGATATTTATTTTGACAATAAAGGATAATAAGCCTAAATCTATACAACATATAGTTCTATGGTCCATTTATTTTTATCTTTCATCTCAATCATTCAGTACTGAAGTAATTCAACATAGTTTGCATGATTTGGGGACTTCCACACAGAAATCCTGTATTCTAATTAATGAGACTGAAAATACATTCTGTTTCTGTTTCACTGGATGTATTTACTAGCACTCTAACAATTTTATAAATATAATTAAATTTACATAAATAATCAAAATCATCATGAATTCACACATTTTGCTAGTATATACAACAAGGAGTAATAAAAGTAGGTACAGTATTTATCTAACACCCAAGAATAGTATATTAAATTTTCTAATGAAATAATTTGTTATGAGAAAGAAAGTTATTGATGGCTTATCAAAAAAATCAGTATATTGATTAGTACTTGGCAAAATCATCAGTGCAGGAAGCAATAGTTAATGCCAATGTAACACTAAATTACCATTTATTACATACATTTTCCCATGAGTGAATAACATAAAATAAAGCAAATCTACTAGCTACCCCACTACTTCTTTTTTCTAATTGAAATTATTGGAATTAGATTTAATCTTTTTTTCTTTTCTTTTCTTTTTTTTTTTTTTTTTTTTTTTTGTCATTTTAAATATCTGGGTTTCTGGTGAAGGCAAAGAAAAAAAGTTCAGGAGATTGAGATCAATGTCAACTTAATATACCTCCCCATCACCACCTACTATTGTGAAATAGCAGCTTTCTTTGGTAATAATTTATCCTTATAAATCAGTAAACCTTATGAAAATCAAGTTGTGAAAACTTGATTAAAAAATGCTGTCAATTTACATTTTAGTTGCTACTTCTGCAGCCTACACACCCATAAGCCATGGATTTTCAAAGGTGTTTTAGCTTTTATTTCTTCCTCTACTTTCATTAGAGAGGAAGATAGCCCTAGCTTTCCAAAATAGGAAATTCTAATGCTTCTTTCACGGTGATTGGAGTTAATAATATTTGTGCTATCCATTTCACTTCTATTTCCCAACCCATGAATCTAAACATTGGTTTTAGGAGAAAGAGTGTGTCTTATCTTCAGTTTAGTCACAATTCAGTTTTCACTTTTAAAATTAAGTTATAATGGAATGTGCAGGCTATATTTATTCAACATTGTTTTTAATTCACACTTACACAGATGATTTTTTTCTGGAAACTCCAAAGCAATCTTTATGGTATCATACTGGATAAAAATCTGTACTGGTGCTTCTTAGACGACCATGCACACAATATTATATCATATTTCATGGGTGTTGGGGCATTGCACAGAAATGCTGCACAACGAAATGGCAGGGATCTATAATGTTGGCATTCAAGTGTGGGAGAAAAGTTGAATCAAGAGTCATAACTTCAAACAAGAGGCAGAGGGTACAGAAATTCTGTATTCAGTAAGCGTTGTCAGGGGTAGGAGGTGAGCAGAATCTGAGATGTTTCACACTTAACATTCCCTTGGGCTGGAGACTGGGGAATGACTAAGCAGGCATTGGAAAAGACCCAGGAAATGTTAAATTTCTATGGCGTGAACCTTTACAAGCTATTGAAAAGAAATGTGCGAGTTTCAAAAACTTAAAAAACGGAAAAAAATCTAACTGTTCCTAAACATCTTTGATGTGTTTTGAAGACTACAGGTAAAAAGTAGCCTTTGTTATGGAAATAACTAGGTTTATAGACACACAACACATGGCAGAACAGTGAGAAACAATACAAGTATCTGAAAGAAAACCTGTCAGTATTAGCCACAAAAATGCATCTAATTTACAGATTCGGAGACAGATTGTTGTTTAATAATTACTGAGCCTTTTTATCATTAAAAAACCGTATTAAATATTTTTCCATGTTTATTCATTAGAAAATAATTAAAACACTAAAATTAGGGCTCTTTCTACTGTCATTGGACAGAAGCAGAACTCCATTTACTTTGCTACTTTTCATTTGCCTGTGTACCCATTCTTTATTTGACCAAGTTTTCTGGAAGACTCTTTGATCAGAAGGTGTGAAACTCTTTCACCTAGAAGCTGATCCTGTAATTCTATTTCAACTGCTTTGTGGCAGCTGAATAACGTAAGGGATTAGACTGAAAAAGAGAACAAAGATTTTTGATTTCACAGAAATCTCCAGTTTTCAGAATAAAGGCCTAGAAACATAAAGGAAAAGAATGATTTCTGTGTACATATATCACATGTGCATACAAAAACCAAACTTCTTAAATTGCGTGCTCTTTTATAGTCAAAGCTGTATAGTTTTCTAGAAATCGATTGCTTCGTGGAGTCAATAGTCCTTTGGAATAACTTTTTATCTATGAATTAAGAATTGTTAAGGAATACACAGCTGTTTCATATAGACTTACATAATTGGAAAAATAAGAAAAACTTCTGAGATGTAATTCTAAAATATTAATAAAATTGCAATAGTAATTCTTATTAAAAATTCAATGTCGTTTCATTGCACTCATGTCAAACAGTGAATTGCTTTCCCTAAAGCCAAATTCTTACCACAGAAATAGTTAGGTTTTAATCGAGGCAAGTTTCCCTACTTCTCCTTCAAGTCTGTCTCTGAAGTACAGATAATAGAGAAGGAGAATTCATCCACTCAGCAGTATCTGAAGTAGTAGAATTTCTTACTCCACAGCTAAGCTCATGAGTCCAGAACACATTTTTCTTGGGTACTTGTATTGTGAAGTGTGATATTGCAGGTTCAGCTGGAAGATTGGACTTAAAGATGTGCTGTTAGCCTTGAACTAATATCTACTCTATGATGCAATCATAGAGGCTTTTATCATTCTCCTCAATAGTGTTAACAAATTAGAAGCTCAATGTATATTTTTCTTCACCATTTGAATATGATTTCTTCTGAGGTGCAAAAGTGAAGAACAGCATATCAATATAAACTATTTCTAAAAATAAATCAATTAAGTGTATGTTCTGCTTTGATATACATCCATTGTTCATCCCATGATAGGTTTTTGAATATCTTGGGTCATTTTTATATAATTTGTCATAGTTTCCAACAAGTTTAGATTATAGTAGCCCTTGTATGGGAAGAACAGTACTGTTAACTTGCAGGGATAAATGATGCTTCACATAATGATTTATTACCGTATCTGAGAATAATTTCTAGAGACTAACTGATTATATTAGAAACACTATAGATTTCCCTCTTTTGGCATAAAAGGAAATGATCCATATCTTACAAAAATGTTCTTAGCCTCATCTGTATCAAATTCATTGGAAGTATGCATTCCTTAATTACAACAACCTGAGAGGGAAACCGGATCAACAGCTAAAGCAGAAGGAAAAAAAAAAATAGCTTCTAGGACACCTCCAATTAAGCCAGTGAACCAGTGCTTTCTATTTTGAACAGATGTTACATACCTTTTCCAAGTACTGAACAGGTTTTTGTACCCACTTGGTCTATTTATATTGTACTTGGCTTGCCTTCAAACTTCTATTAAACGATAGTTTTTGAACCAAAAGGGACATTTGATTACGACAACACTATAAGCCACATTAGTATGCACATTACTTTGTTCATTAAAAAACAGGCTCCTTACTAATGTAGGAAACTGATATTTCAACCTGGAGATAGTAAGTGATTTCTTGTCTAAGTTTTCTATTCAATAATGCTGAATTATCCACAGATAGAATATTTTCTGAGGATTAGTCATGCCAAATCCTACTTTTATATCATTAATATGGTTTCGCTTACTGTGGGACATGAAGCTCACTTTTGGCATGAAGGCACCAAATTTTTAACCCTGACTAGGTATTGGTAAAAAAGAGATCTTCACTGCTGGTCATAGTTCCGCTTCCTGTTCGACTCTGGTGTCTTTGCTGAGGGTGACATTGAGCTGCAAGTTGCATCTGGGGTGCCTTTAGGATCCAGCACCATGGTGGAAGAAGGCAATGAGACCAAAATCAAGAACTACAAGACTGCCCCTTTTGACAGCCGCTTCCCCAACCAGAACCAGACCAGGAACTGCTGGCAGAACTACCTGGACTTCCACCGCTGTCAGAAGGCAATGACCGCTAAACGCGGCAATGTCTCTGTGTGCGAATGGTACCAGCGTGTGTACTAGTCCCTCTGCCCCACATCCTGGGTCACAGCCTGGGAGGAGCAACGGGCTGGTGGCACATTTCCCGGGAAGATCTGAACTGGCTGTACCTCCCTCTCCTCTGTCCTCTGTCCTTCTCCCAGGATGGTGAAGGGAGACCTAGTACCCAGTGATCCCCACCCCGGGATCCTAAATCATGACTTACCTGCTAATAAAAACTCATTGGGGGGGAAAAAAAAGAGAGAGAGAGAGAGATTTTCATTATTTGCCTGCCCAAACAAGAAAGCAACAAAAATGCTAGTCACAAAATTTATCTACACACCTGCCCAGGAATTTTCAAGCTAGTGGAACCATACAATTTACAGAGGTACACTTATTCAGGATTTTACTTATATTTGCTCTTCTGAAGATTGATGCATGTGGTAAAAGTGTTATCAAAAATATAGAAGCCTGGGCAACATACCGAGACCTCACCTCTGCAAATAATTTAAAAAATTAGCTAGGCGTGGTGGCATGTCCCTGTGGTCCCAGATACTCTGGAGGCTGAGGTGAGAGGATTGCTTGAGCTGGGCAATCAAGGCTGCACAATGAACTATGATCATGCCACTGCACTCCAGCCTGGGCAACAGACTAAGACCGCATCTCAAAAAAGAAAGAGTCAGTGTATTTCTTCAGTCAACAGGGTCAATGTAGCCTTATTAGTTTCTTCTAATAATGCTGGAGACTCAGTTTATCAGGCTACAAGTAGTCTGTTGGGTGCTATCCTCTGGTTTTCTCTGCTGTGACTCCACTGTAGCATCACTAATCTATCACTTGACTATATTGTTATACAGGGCCAACTCTAGGTGCCAGCTTACATGGTTTAAAGTGAGAAAATCACACTTCAAAGATGTGCATTTCCAAATATCTCCTCTTCCTTTCATCAGCCTGATTAGGGTTTCGAAAATAAAATTTGGGGTTATAAATCTAACTGGAACCTGTCCAGAAGTACTTCTTACATCACTGCCCAAGCAACTTAGGGTACTTACTACTGGCATCTCACATCCTGCAGAAAAAAGTGATAGAGCTTCTCTCCCATGCAGGAAAGAACATGGCAGCATTTTCTCATGGGAATGGGAGATCAAGGGTCAGGAGAACTCTCTAGGATTTGGAATCACTGGGACATGACATTCTTGGGGAGACAAAAAAAGTTAGGTGGAGACAGCAAGGGAAAAGTAAGTCAAACTTCAACTTCACAGTTTTTCAGTTTCCACCAAGCAGATTTAAAGAGAAATTGGTTAATATGACAGGAATATAGGAAGAAAAACATTAACAGAAACTGTGGTATTCTAGCCTTTTTACTCTAAGAGTTCCTAAATGAACCACTTCGTTAGTGAAAAATCTAAAGGAAGGGTCTTGGTTGGGTGCAGTGGCTCATGCCTATAATCCTAACACTTATGGAAGCTGAGACACGGGGATTTCTTGAGCCCAGGAGTTCAAGATCAGCCTGGATAACATGGTAAAACCCTGTCTCTACAAAAAAATACAAAAAAATTAGCTGGGCGTGCTGGTGCACACGTGTAGTCCCAGGTACTTGGGAGGCTGAGGTGAGGGAATCACATGAGCCTGGGAAATTGAGGCTACAGTGAGCCATGATTATACCACTGCACTGCAGCCTGTGTGATGGGAGTGAGACCCTGTCTCAAAAATAAATGAGTAAATGCATACATAGATATACAGGCATACATAAAAGAAGGGTCTTTTTACTTCCTGGTTTTACCAAAAAGAGAATGTACTATTAGTGTCAACTCTTCTGTGAATGTACATTCACTGCTCTAGATTATTTTAGTATTGCTCTTGAAATGCACCCCAAATATTTACATGTATTTGTCAGCATTTCAAATCATACATCACAGATAAGAGCAATGCTGTAATCTCAGTTTCATCTACCTTGTCCGCCAATAGGCTTTTAAGAAACTGAAGTCATATCATCTCTTGATATGAGACACAGTAGCCTATTTATCCCAAAGGGACTCCACCTTCAGAGTACATAGAAATAAACAGGCGATATGTTAAAAGTAGATTCTTGTAAGTTAACGAAGCCAAAAACTTTAACCTGTAGTCCAGGAATATAAATTTTAAAAAGTTCCCTGGTGTTTATAGCATTTGAAAACCCCTACATTGAAAAGAGAAAAGACTATAGTCTATAAATAATCTTTGATGTGTTTCCAAATTGTATGAATAAAAGAATATTAACTGAATTTTCTAAATGCTATCTAATCTTGAGTAACTATTAGTGAAAACTGCCTCTAGAATCGTAGGTTATAGAGAGATGACATAGTAAATCTGATGTTTATAATTTGTGTAACTGCTGCTGGTTAACCTGAACCAATATTATAACAAGAGAAAAAAATTATTAGTAAAATAATTAAAACAATGCTTGCATTTTATCTCCAACTATAATCATTTGTTAACTGTCTTAGTTAAGTAAATATATGACACAAATTGTTTTGTAGAATTTTAGGTAAAATGAAATAGTCTAAATTAATCCCTAATAAACTATATATCTAGCATAGTGCCTAACGTTAATATTTGTTGAATCAGTTAATAACAATTAATTTGCTTGTAACCATTTCCCATTTATAGATACTTGAGTAATGTCAATATTTGTGTTTGTAAAATAGTAAAGACAACAATAGAAAATAAACTAAAACTCATTTGTCTATATGAAAGCTAACAAAACATTTCACGAAAATCTGTTTATTTTATGGCTCAAACTAAAATTTTTGAGAGCAGCCAGGTCTTTCTATAAATTTAAAATTATACTTATTGGAAAACAGAAATATTCTTATTTTATCATGAGCTCAAATTACTGTATTAAGAGAGGGACTCATTTAAAATCAAGCAAGTGGCTGACATTAGCAATGTAATAAATGAAACGCTATAAGGCATGGATGATCTAAAGATTTTTTCCTACCGTACATATGCAATTTCCACCTTTATCTCTCAAGAACATAGTTATCATTCATAAGTCTTTTAAATAATTTAATACAGCATATACAGAGGCAATCTTGCTAAGATGCAGATTCTAATTCATAGGTCTGTGAATGAGCCTGAGATTCTGAATTTCTAGCAAACACACAGGTGACACTGATGCTGCTGCTCTGCAGATCACATTTTGAGCACAAGAATTTAATACACCTGGAAAAGGTATTGAATATGGATGCCAGCAATTTAGATACACATTCCAGATCCCTGATGATCCAATTGTGTTATCAGATGCAATTTATTCATCTATTCTGGACATTTGTGTTGCTATGTATCAAATAAGGGAATTGGGGTATGTCGCCAAGGTTTTTTGAAGTTCTAAACTTAGATGTGTATACCATTATATTTCATTCTCTAAACATCCCATTGATTTATTGTGTCTCGTTTCTCTACTCATTTTAATAGTAACATACACCAAGGAAATAGGTCGATGAATTTGTGCCAAGAACTCTGGAAGGACTTTCTCTCTATAAAGTCCTTTGCCCATTTCTTCAAGAGCCATGCAGAGCCTCTGCTGTCTAGACAAGACACCTCAGCCTCCAGCTGCATCCAACCTGCCTCCAAATGGCTTCAGTCTCAGAGAGGTGCTTGGCGGGCCTACTGGCCTCCAGCTTCTCTGTGCAGCTGCTCACAGTTGATAACGAACAGAGTCAATAATCTTTTATTTTTTTACAACCCTTGGTTTCCATCCAGCACAATTCACTTTTTGGCTGTTGACTACAGATAAAAAGACGCATACGAGGTTATATATTGTAACTTCATTTGCCAAGCTTCAAAATTGCTGTAGTAACCTTGACAAACCAGTGGTGACTTGAAAGACTAGGACATGTATGCCATCAAAGGTACTCTATTAGTATGTGTGTATACTATTTATGCTATTGGCATGCAGTTATAGTTTGCACACCTATACCTATATTTTTCTAAAATACTATTTAAAGTCACCCTCACAAAAAATATCTTTAACTCTAGGGAAGCAGCCCCCACTGAATATTTTTATGTTGTCTTATTCTCTAACAAACTTATTAAATGAAAAACATCACTCTATATTATTATAAATAGTTCTATCAGTTATCGTTTTCCATTAAATAATGATAAATCTGATAACTTTTAGTATACCAATGTAATTAGACTTTTCTGAAATCAAGCTTTTTTTGAAAACAAATTTCATTAACTCACAACACACAAATGTGAATTAAGGATTTTAGTTTTATGAACTGTGTGTTTTTCCAGCTTCATTTTAAATAATTATTCTTATAATGCAGTGAACAAGTGACAGCTGAAACCCATTGAACACAGTTCAAAAGTAACAGGAATGGATAAAGCACAATTTTCATCCTCTTAACTATCATGTTATAACATCTAGTTGATATTCAAATTTGAGTAACCACACAGTATCGGAATATCTTTGACGATTGTTTTTGTATAAAGCAGTGATAGATATAGTCCTTGGTGTTAATACTAATCCACAATTAAACTTTCAATCATTAACAGTTGGAAATTTAAAATTAACTTAAAAATCAGCATTAGAACACTAGTAAACAGGAAAGTGATTACTACATGTTAAATCTATAACTTCACATATAAATACAAATTTTTGATTAATCCAGAGAAGAATTGTCAACAAGAATGTCCTGGAATACTTTTCTATGTGTCTGCAATCAGGCTGCTCAGTAAAATTCTGCTGGACTAGACCCATATTATGAGTGAAAGCTGGACTGGTTGTAGTGGTTCATGCCTATAATCCAAGCACTTTGGGAGGTTGAAGCAAGAGGATTGCTTGAGGCCAGGAGTTCAAGGCTTCAGTGAGCCATGATTGCACCACTGCACTCCAGCTTGGGCAACAGAATGAGGTCCTGTCTCTAAAAATAATACTACTAATAAAATAAAAGTGTAAAGCACTGTTAAATGGCAAAGTGTAGTTGAATAGCCACCTGCAGGCAGAACTGGAGAAATTATTTATGAATCTCCTAGGAACTCAAACCAAATGGCGTTACTAAGCCATTCTGGGGAGAAACAGAGAAGCTAGCAGGTTACTCTGATGTGCATTTCTCAAGAGATTCCTGCTAAAGACATAAGCAAGAACATCAATATCCAATTTGGATGACTTTTATTTCCTTCTCTTACCTAATTGTTGTAACTAGGACTTTCAGTTGTATGCTGAATAAAAGTGGTGAAAGTGTATATAATTATCCTGTTCCT